GTAGCAAATGATTGGGTCCTTCTCTTTCGGTTCATTTTTGAGGCCTTCATTTCGTTTGAATTTTCTTCCTCGATAAGGTCTCATCATTTTTCTGAATCGTTTGGCAAACAATGCCATTTCCTCGTCATCGTCATCGTTATTCGAATCACTATCATCTTTTGTGGATTTGAGAGCAACTCCAATGTTTTTCTTCTTCTCCTTCTCCTTTGGTGTCTCGTCAATTTTTTCGAGGTCCACCTCATCTTCGAGCATCATTTCATGAGTGAGGAGTGACCCAATTAGCTCTTCAAGAGTTAAGGACGTTAAGTCCTTAGAATCGATGATTGCCATCTTCTTTGATTGCCACGATTTTGGGAGGGAGTAGACTAACTTCCTCACAAGCTTTTCATTTGAAATGATCTCTCCATATGATTTGAGACCATTGACAATCGTTGAAAATCTATCCGTCATAGCTTTGATATCTTCATTTGGTTTCATCCTGAAATTTTCATAGCTATGCATTAGAATACTAATTTTAGATTTCTTTACCTCATCGGTACCTTCATGAGTGACTTGACGTTTGTCCCATATTTCTTTGGCGGTTGTACACGATGAAACTCTTCCATATTCATCTGGTCCAAGAGCACAAAAAATGATATGGATGGCTTTGGAGTTGAGCTGGAACATTCTTGTCTCTCCTTCACTCCACAACCTTGGATGAGTGAGAGGCTTGATGTATCCTTCTTCTACGGCATTCCATGCTCCCATGTTACTTGCTTGAATGAAGTACATCATTCTATTCTTCCAATAGGCATAATTAGCCCCATTGAAGAAAGGAGGCTTGTTGACGGGCATCGAATCGAGACCGGAGTCGTAATTTGAAGTGGAGGTCATTGATGACTTTGTAATCGATGTAACTCTTCCCGAATCGACTCAAGAGGCGATTAAACCTTCAAATGAGTGAGGCTCTGATACCAATTGTTGAGTTAATCGATCGACGGAATTAGCCAAGAGGGGGTGAATTGGTAATTAAAAATTCGGTGGAAGCTTTTGCAGAAAATTGAAAAGATTTGCACAGCGATTTAGAGTGGTTCGACTTTCTCAATCAAAGTCTACGTCCACTACCTTAGTTATCCACACTAAGGATTTTCCAACAAATTCACTAATTTGTTCTTTCTTTCGAGGCCAAAGAGATAACCTTACAACACCCTCAAGAATATACCCCAATTCTTGAGAACACTCTTTTCCCAAAGAGAAGATTACAAATTTGCAAACTTACAAGGAAAACCTCACAAGGTAAGATGTTTGCACAATTCTAGAACAAGAAAAGAACACTCAAAGATAATTACAAATGAGCACAAATGGTGTTCTTGAAAGCAAAATGAATATTGAAAGGAAAATTGGCTTGATTTGCACAAACTTGGTGTTTGATGCTTTCTCTCTTGTTTCTCTATGATTTCTTGTTGATCAAGGGCTTCAGAACTTGTTTAAATACACCTTGAATCACTTCTGAACGTTGGGGATGATTAGTGAAGATCATATAGCCGTTTTAGTGTGAAAACAATTAATAAAACAGTTTGGAACGTGGGGGGAATCGGTACCCCCTATGGGGAATCGGTTCCCTAAGTGTAAAATTCAAATATTTCGACCGTTTGAACAGGGGGGAATTGATACCCCCTATGGGGGAATCGGTTCCCTCCGAGCATTCTGGAAATCTCGGAGCCAAACCATTCAGGGGGGAATCGGTACCCCCTTGGGGGGGAATCGGTTCCCTCTGAGCAATCTGGAATTTTTGACTTTGAAATGGTTCGAAATATTTGAAAGATTATTTTGAAATTGTTTTAAGATTAAAACTTAATTTTACACTTAAGTAAGGATTAAAAATGATTTTTGAAATATTTGGAGTAATGTTTTGATATTCAAATAATTATATCGAATATACTTAGAAAATCATTTTGGAAAATCTTAAAATTCATTTAACTTAATTTGTTATATCGAAATATCAAAAAGTTTTCAACAGAGTTTAAGGACCTAATGCGGGAATTGAGACATATTTATTTTGAGAGCTTCAACTACCTTGCTAGAATCCCAAAGGAGAAATGGCTTCGATCATTTGATAAGGGTAGTCGGTATGGTCACATGACAACGAACTTGAATGAGGCAATAAATTCATCACTGAAGGGAGTGCGCCATTTTCCTATCACGTTCATTGTCAAAGGAACATATTATTGAATGACAACCCTTTTTGGAACCTTGGGAAGGCAAGCAGCTGACTGGATGGCAGGTGGCCACCAAATCCACCCAGACCTCAGAAAATTACAAACATTCAAGCACCATTCCAACGCGATGAGTGTCATATTCTCCTCTCGATAAATTTCATTATTTTGTGTATTAGAATTTACGAGACCATTGGAAGGCATACAACACAATACATACGTGATTAATTTACGAGAAGAAACATGCGAGTGCGGATTCTTCCAAACTTTCAAATACCCACGTGCACACCCACTGTTGTTGTTTCTTCTGTTCGGATACCCTACATGAGATTTGTTGATCAGGTTTACTTACATGAAATTATATTCAATTTTTATGAATATGATTTCCCTCCCATTGGAAATGAATGGGATTTGGATGAAGTTGATGATGAACCTATAATACGGCCAAATTATGCACTACGACAAAAACATTGGTCATCCACGATCAACCCTAATTTTTTATGAGAAGATTTGGTCGAACATCAAGAAAGAACCGGACAATCGAAATTATGCTCTATATGTAGGAATCCCGGACACACGAAGAACAAAAGTCTCAATCTCAGGCCCATGTATCAATTAAATGGGTTTAGTTTTTAATTAACAACACATATTACTCATATGTACAAGCCAGAAATAACACTTTAATATGTCAATCAAACCATTTTTTCTTCTTCCTTCACAAAACCATGATTTCTAACCATTTACAACGTCATTTGTACCCTGCTTAAAATGTCTTATATATGTTGATATTATAGTCAATTTAAAGATAAATTGCAACACTACGCGTTTATAATTAAAAATAAAAAAAATTAGTTTCCCACCTGAAAATAGTACTGAACATGGCTATGAACACTAAAGGGAGGGTAGAGAATCTATTGTCATCGCGTTTTGCAGGTCGTGGGGTCCCCCATAAATCTTATGATATTCTGCGTCATAACTGCTACCTCGCACTTCACAATGTGTAAGATCATTTTATCCAATTGTTTTATTGGCTTACCTGGAAAGTATTCTCACGTCGGATGTATCTCGCGTGTTGGAGGGTATGAGGATTTAGCACGCAGTTTGTAGGCTGCAAGGTTGTCAGATGTAGACGATTTGAGAGTTATTCTTCCAAATAATTTATGGAGGACCCTATTTCTTTAAATAATTATTTATTTAAAGTTTTTAATATAAAATTGTCGTGATTGCCAGACAAATCATAGGAGGCGTGTTTGAGATTTATTCCCTTTCATGTTTTAATTGTTTTTGTTTGCTGCGGCAGAAGTGTGTTGCTGATTATTCGTTTTGTGGGGTTTGAAGTGGTGTCTGCCGGAAGTGTTGAAGCTTGGTCTTGGTTTATTTTGTTTTGGTATTTCTTTCGTAGTTTGTTTTTTGAAGTTTTGGTTTGTCCGAATTGTATATATTATTTCTCTTAATTTAAGTTTAGAGATGTTTATAATGAGACATACAACTTGATTTGGTCTTATTCGTTATCAATAAAAAAAATTCCCGAGAAAAAGGAATATCACCTTGCATCAACACAGTGTTGCTTGCAAAGATTATTACTTTTTTTTAGAATTAAAGAATGTATTTGGATTGTAGGGATTACATTTATAAAATATTAAAATATTAAAAAATTATAATAATTAAGATCAATTTGAGATAAAGTGTAAAAGTCATTGATTAAATTTTTTATTATGATATTTTTTTCTAATTTTCATATCGTCTTGTTACTTTCATAATGAAAAATGATCAATCATTTACTTTTTTAAATATATTTTTATATTTTTCGGAACTCAAATTGAAAAATATCTTATAACCGAGAAACTAATTTCATATTTGATTCTAATATTTTTATATGGAATTTTTAAATTAATTTTTTATTAAAATATAAAATAATTAATGCTAGTATTGATAAAATGATAAAATAATTTACAACAATTAACATTATTTTATTTTTGTTGTCGTTTGGTTTATTTTATCAAGAAAAAAAATCAGTGGTAAAAGCACTAAAAATATTATTAGGCCTAAATATGTAAAGTATAACAATTCTTTCCAATATATATAACAATAAGATACAAATACATAATTCAGCGCGATTATTAAGGCGTTATAATTCAGGGTGATTATTAACCTATGCAATTATAGCGCCTCGATTTAACCGGAAAGCAAAATAAAAACAAACTCCAAACAAGCTTAGTCCGTCCTGGGAAAAATCGAAGTCAGCAATATTAATCTCAACATCTTTAGCTGATGAATCTTTCTTATTCAGATCCCATTACATTACACATGAACTATATATATATATGTGTGTGTGTTTGTATTGTTGATTTGTCATTCTATTCAAACTCATCCCAAAATGAAACTTTATACTTGCATTTATGTCCTTGTACTTTTATCGTGGTTGAGTAGCTCAGAAGCCGATTCCGCGTCATTCAATGTAAACCTACTACCAGGTGAAAGGCAGATTACCTGGAAATGCATGCAATTTTCGTATTGATCAATCATATGGATTAAACATTCATTGCTTTCGACCCATGTTTTTTGGTGCAGTTAACGGTTGCGCCATCGTGAACTGCGTCCAAGGGAGTTGCAGAGAAACAGATGATTCAATCTTAGGGTTCGAATGCGACTGCTACCCCGGCTGGACCAAGTACCGACTCGGTCCTATTGTCTTTCCCCCATGCATCATCCCCAACTGTAACACCTCACAAGTCACACCACTCGTTTCAATTTTTTTTTTTTACTTTTTCATATCAAGTAATTTCTATTTTTATAAACATGTAGGCACACTCAACCTCGGCTGTGGGAATGGGAGTCCTTCACCGCCGGCGGCACCGCCGGCCACGTTTAATTTGTCGGACCGTATGGTTCTTATAGAGAACGTTTTATCTTAATTCAACTCATTATTGATTTGGTATCAGCTAAGGTTTATTTCATTGTTAATTTGTGTTTAGCTTGTACCTTGACTTGGTGCGGTGATGGGAGCTGTAAAACAAACGAGAGTGGCTATGAATGCAACTGTAACGATGGCTCTGATAATCTGCTCGATATGCCCGCCTTACCCTGCTTCAATGAATGTAATTTCTTTGCTCGACTATCACTACTTGAAAATATTATAATAGATCCAAAATTTAATTCAATTTATTCACATAATCACTCATAAAAATTATATTTAAAATTTTTATTCAATCGTTTCAGGTGCTTTAGGAGTGGGTTGCCATGGTATTACATTGGGTAAACCGCCACCAACTCCTTCAAACGCACCGCCACCTGCGACATCTTCTTCTCATGGTAATTATATCTTACTCAAAATTATAGATAAAATAATAGTTCAAATATTAAATTAGATATTTTCTCAAAATACATGTACTACATTAAGTATTTTATTATATTATCTCAAAAAATATTTTAAAAGTAAATATATCATATTAAATAATTTATTAAAGTATAAATATTAAATACGATATTCTATCAAAAATTATCAGATATGATATTATGCCTTGAAAATAATATAAAAAACTAAATTATCTAAATTGTAATCTTAGTTTATATATATATATATATGATGTGTGTATGCTATGTTTAATTTTTTTTCAATTTTATTGTAGGATGGGCTTCCAGGATCAAAGATAGTTTGAAAATTCTAGTAATATTGGTTGCTGTATTTCATCAATGTCTATAAAGAGGTCATAATGTGAGGATTTCCCAACTGCTAGTAAACACAATGTAGATCGAACTATATATTATTTATTTTGTGGTTTTTTTATATTCGAATGGTCGTAGTTTTTATCAAAATTAATAAAATAACAATGATAAAATGGAATTTCGATTTGTTTGATTTTCTTATAAAATTGTGTATAATTTTGATTATCATTTTTTAATTAATCACTGATATAAGATATTTTAACCGACTAATCAATATCGGATTTTCAAAGACCCATTATGGGGGCGACCCTCCCAACCTAATTTGCTCCATATGCAAACGCTAGGATTCGAACCCCTGATCTTGCTTAAAAAATATAATGTCTCATTCTACTAGACCAACTAGTTGCTTGTTGATTATCATTTATTATATATATAGTTTTTCCCTAAAATTATCATTCAATGTCTATATATATGAATAACAATGCTTAAATAAATAATGATTCGTATCCTCACACATGAAATGCGTGCTTTCTTTCAATAAAATTTTCACCCATGAAATGCAAGGTCCTAAATTTGTTATTTTGTTTAGAATATTACTGTAAAAGAAATTAATTGGAAAAAATGTAATGATGAATATTTATAATAAATGATAGATTTAGTTTACAATATTTTTTCTATTAATTTTATTTTTAACTTATTAAAATGGTTAAATTTAATCTTCAATTTTTTAAAAATAGTTGAAACATGTGACTTAAAACAATTGATTTTTAATGACAATAAAATGATAGTATGTATTATAGTACACATGTACTCCATGTTTTTTTTTCGAATTTTTAAAATTTTTATTTTTAAAAAATATTTTTATGTTTATTAAAATTATTTATTTACATAATCATATAAAACAAATAACTTTATTTTTTTATTAATGGGAATTGAAATTTCTTAATAAAAATAACGAAATATATTAGAATTACAACGCACCCAAAAATAGAGAGAAAATTTGGACAATACTCGCCAAACAACTCATACAAAAACAAAATATTAAACTTAAAGTTACGAAGAAAAACAAAACATTCTTTTAAGAATGACGTCCAACATAAAAAAAACTCAATAACCTTCTTAAAAACTTTATCTCTGCTGAACTAGACACATTACAAAGTGATAAAAAATGGTGAGCGAACCAAACTATCTAACATGTTGCTTCAATAGGTAATTTTGATTATATCTGTACACACCAATTTTTGTCCGGTCAATTTAATTTAAATGGTAACAAATAATGGCTTTAATTTTAATTATAACATTCCCTTTTATTTCTTTCCATATCCCATGTAATCTACTATCTATGAAATCTATTGATAGGATTGATTTAATTTCACTAAATAGGGGGATTGAGTAGATATGCTTTTAATCTAAGCCGTCGATGTAAATAATCTAAACCATTAGATATAAGGAGGCTCAGCTATAAGTGGAGGCATTTTCCATCACTTTAGGACACAAAGACAAACAGAGAAAACAAGAAAAAAAAAGAGAAAAGGAGGAGAAAAAGATAGATAATAGAGGGGAGAGAGTCATCCAAAGTATTGCAATTCAAAGAGAATAGCAATAAAAGATGAATCTTAAATTTTGTATGAATTTTAAATTTCAACTTTTTTAGTATTAATTTATTCTTATGAATTGCATTATTTTTATATGTCGGTACACATAATCTTTTTGTCTCACTTTTGCATATCATACCCAAATTGTTATTTTATTTTTGTTTTTATACTAATTTATTGTATTTTACAGCAACCAATTCGCAAAGGTAAGTGATTCGGGTCTTATTTTTAAATTTTCGTCAAATGATTTTTACAATTAAGATAATTGGGTAATCGAATGGAACCGAAAAGGCGATTCGAGGGTGCTCATCCATCCTCGATCGTAAACGACACCCGAACTCAACAAATCTCTGGTAAAACGTAGATCCGTTAAATAGTAAGTTCGAGGTGTCCAATCCTCCTAATTCGAAAGTGATTGGTAGTGACTCCATAACACAATCCAATTTGAAACGCGGAACTGGGACCACAAGAAGGACCGTTGTGACAACTTGGCAACTTCGTTGGTTATCTTCTTATGCAAAAATTGTAAGTTGAAATTTTATTTTATTTTTTATCCTTTTTATTTACCTTTGATTATTTTTTTTCAAATAAATACTTGTATTGATGTTTTCTATCATTGTTTTCAGATTTTTCAAAAAGTCATTTCATGCTCTATACCCGAGCTTCAACCTTTTTAAGTGGGGATGAAAGCGATGCTTTCGTAGGAATTTATTCCTCGCATGGGCCTTACAATTAGCCTCCAAGGTTCAGTACTCTATGTCTTCGTATGAATTTATTCTTCATAATGTATCCTCTCGAGTTTAACTCAGTCCACATAAGCCTGTGATGGGTTTAGGATCGAGGGTCTAGTAGGCCCAATGGGGCACCAATAAGAAGAACTCGGGTCTTTTTTCTAGATCCAAACTGTGTTCCTGTGGGGATTAGAGCCCACCGCGAAACCACATGAAAAACCTTAGGACGTTGACTATTTATTTTTGCTTTAATTATATTGTTCTAAGTATGCGAACTAGAGATATATGTGATTAGGATTTTATTTCTAGCGAAAAGCTTGCAGGATTAGAAATCATGTTAGGGTAGGAACAAAAGCATGCGAGATAGAAATCATGATCGGGTAGGAACGAAAGCATGTGGTGTAGATATCATGCGGGGTAGGAATTGTTACAATGTTTGCCTTAATTACTAATTCGTTGTACTAACTTGTTTTCTTTTTCCATTTCCTTTTATTTATTATCATCTGCATCATTTCATAAGAGGTGTTGGTCCGCAAAGTGTTTGTTAAACTCTTTATTAATAGACAAAGAAATTGTGACGCCATAGGTTAAAAATGTAAAGGTACGACAATGGTTAGAGAAGATTCAGAAAGACAAAAGGAAACAATATGCAAAGCAACTACGATGTCTAGGAGTTGCGAAGCATGTGGGGAAAACAGAAGCATGAGAGGAGGTGTTAATATAGTTTTACAACACTAATACAGTTCTGAAATATGCGGTACAACTAAAGAAATGATGCATAACTTTACAAAAGAGTGCGAAGAAGGTGAGTACATTTTAAACCTAACAAAGATTGCAGGAGTAAAGCGAGTCAAAGATGACGAAATTAAAAAGTCTCTCCAAATACGAACAAAGCATTGAACTTGGGGTCTTAAAAAGCACACAACGTTATTGAAGGACAAAAGAAAAAATGAGCGAACTTTGGATGTTACTTACGATGAAGGACTTTAGTAGGGAACACACCCAACGAAAGTAAAGCAGTCATCCGAGAGTTTCTGAGGCAAGTTCACAATATGACTCATCACCCTTGGGTTTGACGAAAGAAGCTATGGCGGTGAGACATGACATCCAGCTAATGACTATCGAAGCAAGGAAACATGCTTGAAGTTGTCCGGAGTTTTAAAGATCTGGCTCAAAATCCTCATGTATTTTTGTATTATTCTAAACATGTACTCATTATTAAAGCATAAAATACTGATAAAAATTCATTTTATCTAAAAGGGAAAAACACTGGACATATTGCATCCTCATAACACCCAGTTTAAAGTACGAAAGATAGAAGCCAAGTTGAAAGAGATTGAAGCAATTTCCCAAGCTTCAAAGGGAAATGGAAGAGAACCAGAAGAGCACTTTAGACACCATAACATGAAATCAGAATATCATGGTCGATCATATTGTGGCCATACTGGTAGGACAAAATTGTGGTAACATCCCTAGGGCAGGGATATCTGAAGAAGTGGAGGAAAAAACAACTTTTAAGCTAGTTATCACACTCAAAACTTTTCAATGATACCTAGGGGATTCTTCTACCACAAAGGGGAAAGTTTTGATAACGAATCCTCAAAACAATCTCGAGAATTATCATATCTCGAACTTCAATGAGGAGTAATAAGACATTCTGATACATTCATCATGATGCACTTGTATTCTATCTTGTTCGAATTTTTTACCTTAAATTTTGTTAGTTGTTTGACGTTTAAACATATCGAATGAAATGCTACATTCTAAGGTTATGAGCAATGAGCACAATTTTAATCTTTAAGTTCTTTAAATGTTAATTGAATTAAAGGATATTCTAATAATTTGTGTAATACTCCAAATTTTGGTTACTGACTAAAAAGCGAGTTTTGAAAGTTTAGTGGCCAAAGTATAATTTTGTAAAGTTATATATTTTGGTCTGTAAATGAATAGTTTGTCCTGAAATATATGTTTTCTTGGAAATCATAATTTTTACTCGGGATTTTTACTAAAAGCTATAAAGCAGTAAAGTTCGGTAAGAAATTGAATAATCAAATTGAACCGAAATTTCACCAAAAATATGAAGGATGCTAGATAAAGGTTTGAAATATTATTTCCATATTTTAGAACAGTGAAATTTAATATTGATAAGTGGAATTGAAGTTAATTTTCCATATTTAGCCAAAATTGGGAAAATTTACTGACTAAATTGCAATTTCAATGGAAAATGGTAATTATCAA